ATATTTGGGGAAATTTTTATGTCTCCCACATGATTTTAAATTAATTTCAATTTTACCATACAAGTTAAAATAATTATGTTTCTACCTAAAAGACATTATTTATTTATATTTATGCCTAAAGTTAACATATCCTTCCAACCCTTATCCCCTTAATTCATGCTTATCCCCTTAATTCACGCAGGTTATTTAATAGAGATGTCAGGTGGTATATATTGGTTTATGTTAGTATATATTAGTATATGTTGAAATGAAAAATGTGTTTCATCAAAAAATTATGTCTTCTTTTTTTTTTCTTTTTTCTTTTTTTAATTTCATACATAAAAGTACATATATAGTTTATAAAACATATTATAACAGGTTACTTATATTTCTTATACAAAAAAAAAAATCTTGCAATATACTGAACATATACTTTTTGTACACACAAAATATAATGAACAAATTAAAAAAAAATTCTAATATACTTCTAATATACTGAACATATACTTCCTATAGTTATAGTTTATAAACATATTATAATAGGTTAGTTATATTTTCTATACAAAAAAAAATAAATAAAAAAATCTTGTAATATATTGAACATATACTCCTTGTACACACAAAATATACTGAACGGATTAAAAAAAATTGGAGGACTACCCACAAAATATACTACTTGTACACACAAAATATACTCCTCGTAAAATCATAAGCATCAAACTCACGTACAAGGACTACCCACCTTACAACAATCGTGATGTGCCTTGTTCCAATCTATCCGGTCATAGGGCTTGACGTGAATTTCTCCTCTTTCCCCTCTCTCAAACTCGCCTACGCCGCCACCCCCACCGCCGCCACCTTCCCTCCGCTCACCGTCACTCTCAAATCGGGCTCCGGTCTCTTCGGTTCCCCGAAGAACTCTCCCCTCGTCATCTTCGCTCACTTTTCGGAGGAGATGGTGAACGTGTGGTTGAGTGATTTTCAGAGGAGATCGAAGGGGCTACGAAATTCGGAAGAGATTTGATTGGTTCTTCATCTTTGCGTCGCCTTCTTTTGCCTTTTTTTTCCGAGGATCGCGTGAGATTTTTGTTTTCGCCATTGACGACTGAGTTTGTGAAAGAGATTTTTTTTCCGAGATTCGCGTGAGAAGATGAATCGTGTGCAACGGTTTTAATGTTGAGGATTTACTTTCCCGTGTCAATCGATATTCCTTAATTTTCTGATATAGGTATATTAGCAATATTTTATGCTTAATTAGGTAATTACATAAATAATTAAATATTGATTGTAAATGTATAATATTTTAAGGAAGGAGACGTAGAGGGTGCAATTTCCTCTAATATTTGCCTGTATTTTTTAAAGGCCTAATTGCGTAGAAAACTATGACATTTTACTGAATTGCAAATAAATCTCAACTTTTTAAGTTTGACATTACATCCTCAACTTTTTAATTGTGTTGCATGTTAAGCTTCGATTAGTTTTCTGACCTCCTCCTTGTTGATGTGTCCGGCGAAGTGATGATATGTCCTAGCAACAAACCGACATGGCTTTTTATGTATTAAAGCACACACATATGCATTTCAATTTTATAATTTCTTCCTTTCTTACACACTTTTTAATTTATTTTTCCTTTGCAACCTTAAATCGAGATTTTTCATCCCAAATTTGAGGAGCTGGAAAAATTGAGAGTCAATATCCACAGAAGAAGCAACGGGAACGACAAACATTTCACAAATCTCAATTTAGTGTTGCAGAGGGAAAAAGAAATTGAGATTTGGGGAGTATGAAAAAAATGAATAAATTATGAAGTCCCAATAGAACCGGCTCTGATACCATATAAGAAATTGGGGGAAAAATAGGTGCGGACCCACTAACATGAAGCGCACCAAAAGCGGAGAATGCCCATATGAAGCTCAAGTGGGGTACCATCCCAAAACCAATTGGTGGAAGGAGAAGTAGTCCATTAGACTTATAAGGTGGGTCTATTTTCCATGTATAAACGATGTGGGACAACTCACAAGTGATATTCTAACAAAAATGAATGTACGTATGTTTTAGGACATAAA